CATATAGCTTAGCATGTATGTAGGTTCACTCTGGGTGAGAAGTAAATGAGTGTTTATTTTATAATTCTTATAACTTTTCTGGATTTTTCAAAAACCAAATGTGGAGAAGAAACTCTGACAAGGTTAATGCACATGCCCAAGGTCTTTTGAGAGTTCGGTGTGTAAATCTCTTTTTAACTTACACAAAAATAAAATAATTTAAATGAAAATTTTTTGGTACCAGGGATCAAACTTACGACTTCCTACTGGCCAGGCAGGTGCTTATGCCCTGAGCTAAATCCCCGGCTTCAAAGAAATTTTTTTTAAAATGTAGGAAATAAAAAGCAAGTCGTATTTCTGGGGAGAAGGCCATATCTTACCAGACTACAACTTGGCTTTTTAGGCCATTTGCCCCTTACATCATTCCAACTCAAGCAACTGGGGACACCAAGAAAATTTCCCTCATAGCACACTACACAGGTCCAGCTGCCCACACATTTACCTTTAGGCCTCAAATAAACAAATACACTTCAGAGAAAAAACAGCTAAAGCGTTCACTGGGAAGTAAAACCAGTCATCAGTTGAAGCTTCTTTGATGGCAACAACATGTTTATCTTTTACCTGCTGACAGGTCATAGAGAGCAGTGACAGACGTTATGAACTGGCAGCAGAATCGGGGGCTGGCGCTGAATATCTGCTTCAGTGTCTGAACGGAGCCTGGCACCAAACAGCAGTAGTCATCCACCAGGGCCCTGGCGAGCCGCACACAGTAGACCACAGGCGTCCGCTGGAAGGAATCCACAGGCCACATAACTACAGGTGTTGGTAACTAGCAGGTCGTAAGTATGTACAAACAATGAGGACCACCAGAACTGGCAGAGCCATTTCCCAGAATGGAGAAAGCTATTAACAGCTTCCTTTGGAGCAGGAGCCAGCAATCTAAAGCCCACAGACCAAATTCGCTCCACCTCCTGACTCTGTGAGTAAAATTTCGTGGCGACACAATGTGCTCATTTGCTTGTCTACTGCCTAAAGCTGCTCTTGCCTTGCAAGGGCAGAGCTGAATAGCTGCAACAGAGACTCTATGACTTGCAAGGACTGAAATATTTGCACAAAGGGTCTACCAACTCTGGCTTTAAAATTTATTTAGGAAAGATGATTTCTGACTTCAGGTGAAAAAAATCGTAACTTTTGTAAGCAGGTGAGAGCCTAACAGGTAAAAATTAACAGCTGTCAACACTTTGAAAAGATCTGGGAGTCTGTGAACTATTAAATAAGGAAGATGTTTTAGTAGAGCAGCACTTTCCAAATTCCTCTTACAACCTTATTCTCTGTGATAGGTTCCTCTAATACTTTCGAATCCTATATCCTCACCCTCCCCTGCCTTTTTCTCTTTCCATGTGCATGCCTATCAGCCACTCAGGCCACACTCAGCAGCTGCGAAGGAAGCTGTAGCTCCAGGGCACGAACTGTGGATTGGCAAGAATTAAGGCATATGGTTCACTGGGACTTACCTGTGCACTGCACCTAACAGCATGTTTTTGCTAGCCAAATTTTATGGACAAGCAAAATTATTTTTTAAATACAGTTATTATATTGGCAAAGAACTGATTTCAGGTACTTGGGAATGAAGGAACTTTATGAACTGACTGTAATACATTCTGGTAGCTTGGCTAAGAAACATATTCACCCAAAGTTTTGGTCATCAATCACTCTAAAAGTACAGTACCACAAAAATCAAAAAATGAATCTTCCAAAATACTACCTAACACTAGATCTATTGTAAATATATACTTTTTTTGTTCACTGAATCCATTAAGTCATCTACTACATGATGTCACCTTGGAACTGTATGAAATAACACATGCTTTACTAATCTAACTGTATAGACAATGACTTTCTAATAATAAGTAAGCATTCCTGTAACTTAATATATAACGATTTTAAAATCTCATCTTTAAGACTGCATATATACAATTTTCAAAATCCTGTTTTCTTTTCCTCTAAAAAATTTTTCACTTAGTCTAAAGATGGGACTTTGTGTGGGCATGGTAGCAAACATGTGCACATAATCTGGAAAGCCAAGGCAGGAGGATCACAAATTTGAACCCAGACTGATAACTTAGTGATTTAGCAAGACTTTCATTCAAAATTTAAAAAAAAAAGTTTTTTTTCCAAAAGGCCAGAGATATAGCTCAGTGTAAAGGCCCTAGGTTCAATCCCCAGTAACAACAACAACAAAAAGTCCTCAAGAATTATAATGCTGTACAAAACCCAAGAGGATTCTATGTGACTGGGTGGCCTGGTGGACTTTCCCCACGTTTTGAATATTTTGTGCCTTTTTGTTGTCTTTTTCTTCATGTCTCCTACCATAACACAAATGCTAGTGTGCCCCAGCATAGAGGGGAACAGTTCTCATGTCTAACAGTGGTCTATTGTTATGTGAGACTCAAAATCAGGTCTTATCCCAGGACACAGTCACAGAATTACCATGTGTGCTCGTACAGTGCATTACTGTGGCCACAAGGATATGACAAAGATCTCACTTTCTCCAAGTGGTTTTTTTAAAAAAAGAATTATACATAAAACTGTACATAAAAATTGGACTGGAACACAGGTATCAGGGCAGCAATGATAAAGGACATACTGTAGTACACGTGGAAAAGAAATCTCCAGAAATCCAGTTAAATGAAAATTTCTGAAGTAAACTCATCTTCAGAGACTCCAGGAAGGAAGGCTATTTCCGGAGCAGTACCTGAAGCCAAGAAGCTGCACATTCCAAAACTGGGATTCGACACACAGCCACAGCCATAGAGACCAGCTTTCCCAACAAGCTCATCCTGCTGTCATCAGCTTTGTTTCCCTGAGGGCTGAAAAGCGATGAGAAAATAATCTGCCGCACAGAGTCCTTGGTTTGCTCCTGGAAATAATTGCACATGATTTCAAGAAGCTGAAGCTCCTGAAGTGAATTCAGTCTCTGTAAAACAAACCCAGGAAAAAGCTGTGAGAAATGTGGTTTTTGCATGCTTGTTACTTCGCCCAATAAAAAGGAAGGAAATATATTATGTTCCCCAAGGTGCTGCTTTTCAGAAACCCACGTCCCAGGGAGCAGAATGCTGAGGCTAAACTCGGGGAAAAGTCTCATTAGATATCATCCTGGAGGAGTCATGATAACCCACGAGGCTTAGGACTCTAGATGACAGGTTTTTAATGAGGTAGGTGGACAGCCCCCGAAGGAAGTCTTTTCGTTGAACACCGCTGGGTCGCAGCTGTCACCGCCTGCAGACTAGGCACTCGGCTGGGGAATACCGCAGGACTGCAGGACAGGGGATTGGGGGACTGCCGCAGTAACAAGGCTCAGAGCAAAAACCGGGGGACTGGGCGAGTGCCTGTCACCGAGGGAAGGGCACGGCCGGAATAGGCACCTTGGGCTGCGCGCCGCGCTCCTTGGGCACCTGGAACACGAACTCCTCCAGCAGCTCCACGGGGCCCTTGTCCACGATGGGCAGCGGCCCGCTCTGCAGCTGGCTGCTGAAGTAGATGTCCAGATGGTACAACACCTCCTTGGCGGCGCTCAGAGCGTCGCGGCGCAGCAGCGAGTGGCGGATGTCGCTCATGGTGCCCAGATGCCCCGTGCGCCCCACTTCCGCCCGGGCGGCGGGGACGCGCCACCGCCCGTGGAGACAAAGAGGTGCGGTCTAGCTTCCGTGCTGACCCGGGCTGGGCCGCGGCGCCCGCCTGCCCGCCCGCTACCTGCTGCCGGCCCGCTCAGGGATCCATCGCCGCTGCCACCGGCCAGCAGGTACCCGTGGTCCGACTGCAGCGCCAACCAGAGCCACTGGAGCCGAAGCCGCACAGCCGAACGGTGGCGGAACCACGGAGTGAGGACGGCGGCCCGTAGGGGCCAAGCGCAGACGGCAGCCGCGCGCTCTTGGGAGGGCGCCCCCTAGCGGCGGCGCGCTGGGCAGGTAGGCCCCGCCCCTGGACCAGAGCGGAGACCTCGCTGCCGCGCCCGCCACTGAGCTCCGGTGGAGGATTTTCTAAGCTCATGAACCTGCTGTGATAGCAGTTCAACGCATGTGCCTTTTTCTTTCATTGCTGTTCCCACCAGCCAGGACGAGGCGTTGGCTGGAAGACGGCGGACTTGGGTTTCCTCCCAGCCTGGGCAGTTCATCTTAAAATTGTGTCTGTTCTGAACTCACAGGTTTCTTAGACTAATGTTGCCCGGTAAGGGCCTTTCCCCTACCCCCCCCCCCTCTGTCCACAGGGTTTCTGTTTCCCTGTCCTGTGCAGAACCCTGGCTTTGTTGGCTGCTGGTTCCTTGGCCTAGCTTGAGATGGCCTGTGGGAAACTTGGTAGCCTTCAAGGTCTGGGCCACCTGCTTCCTGCACCTGAAAACCCTCCTGCCTTCCTAATGCCCATCAGCACTTTACATAAGTCTCTTTTTTAGCATTCATCTCTCCACTGAACTAACTAGCAGTTTAATTTTGGAATTTTTAAACAAGGCAGAAAAGACTTGAATATGGCCAGAAGAGGCCAGTGAAGGCCAAGGCAGGTGGCACAAGCACAGCAAGTGCCTGCAGTAAAAGGCCTAGGCTGGCACAAAGAAGGCCTCAGTGAGGATGTTGTAATGGATATGAAAACCCCCTAGGAGACAGATAGACTAGGGAAGGTCATAAAAAGGGTAGAGCCCCAGGTGTTGAGTCACTGAGATCCTGCTAGACATGGCTGTAAGGACCCTCCTTGTCCAGCTGCCCAGATTATAGAGTGAGATCAAGGTTTCAGTGATACTTAGAACCTTGGAAAAGTGATTCCCTGGCCAGGTCTTCAGTGGTGCTCCATCCCAAGAGGATAAGCAAGTAATCTACCCAGCAACTGGCAAAAATTAGTCACTCAGTAAATGCTGGCTTTCCTTTTCCTTCCTTCCCCACTTGAAAGCAGGTTTATACACAGCAGAAACTAGAACAGCCAATTTATAAACACATAGTAGAAACCAAATAATGCCTACAAGTATCCACATATATAAATAAATGTATACTATATTTGAAAGTCAGTAACACTCTTTACATTTATTTCTTCTTTCTCTCATAAGATGGGCCTGCAGGTAGAAAGATCTCTTGTAGGTTTCTCCAAAGTCCTTGGGAGTAAATGTTCTGGTTGCTTTGGGATTCAGCTGAGGAGGGCCTGGCCACCAGGGGGCAGTGCTGACACCAGGCCCAGTCTCCTCTGGTCCACTCGTTCGTGGTCTGATTGGTTGCAGCCAGGTACACAGCAAAGCACAGGTAGCCCCCAAGGAGGAAGCTCAGCACCACGACAAAGCCCAGCAAGAAGACAATCCTTGGGAAGGTCAGGTACAGGTACTGGGAGCAAAGAAGATGCATGTTAGGAAATGGAGAGTGCCAGCCCCAGTCGTGTCTGCAGACACATCAGCGTCACCACCTTAGCCACCCATGCATCAGCACCTAATCATCGCTGACAAATAGTGCAGGGATTATTTTGGTGTGTGTATGAGCTTACTCTGGGATAAATAAGTGTTCCTCTAAGGGAGGCTACTCAGGAAACAGGACTAGCCAGTTAGCTATTTGCAAAGTAGATTAATACAGACCTGAGTTCATGTATCAAAATAAAATCTAGATGGCAAGGAAAAATTACTGTCTCTTAAAACAATCCAACCACAAAAATACATGCACAAGGACATTCACTGGCATTGAGTCTTAATAGTGCCTCTTCCTCAAAAAAAGGAGTTACACATAAGGAACACTGGACTCTGGGCTAGTTACACTGTGGATTCATAAGAAGCCATTGTAAAATGACTGAACTGCTCTGGAAAATAATATGGGAGTCCTTTTTGAAACCTAAAATGGACTTTTGTGACCCAAGAATTACACTAAAGACTCATATTCACATAAGATTTGTAAACAAATGTTCATGGCAACTTTGTTAATGCCCCAAACTGGACACTACTCAAATATTCTTCAGAAGGCAGATGGTTAAACTGGTACATCCCAAGCAGGGACTCCTGTAGCAACAAAAAGGAATACATCACTGATATCAATGACTTGGATGGGCTTTAAGGGAATTATGCTGAGTGCAAAAAGCACATCATAAAAGGTATGTACTGCCTGTTATTGATGAAACATTTGTGAAATAACTTAATTACAGAGAATGGAAACAGGCTAACTGTGGCCAGGCGTGACGGGTAGAGAAGAGGTGGGTGCAGCTACAAAGTGGTAGAAGGGTTTCTGGTGACATTTGAGCAATGTGATGGTACTAGTAGCTCCATGAGGCTACTCATTGGACAAGACTGTACAGAACTGCATTCATGAGCAGGTGCGCATGTATGACCAGTGAACTCAGCTCTGTGGACTGTGCCGCAATATGGTATTGTGGTTATACATGACACTAGCGTAGGAGTGGGGTGTTGGGAGTGAACAGGACACAGGACATCCTGTATGCTTCTGTGCAACATGCTTTAAGTCCATTTCAATGTAAAAGTTAAAAAAAAAAAAACACATGCGGGCTTAAGGTGGCATACACCTATAATTCTAGCACTTGGGAAGCTGAGACAAGAGAAACAGGTTGGAAGCCAATCTGAATCACATAGTGAGATGCTATCTTGGGGAAAAAAAAAAAGAAAACTAAAAAAAGCACCTGCCTGGTAAGCATGAGGTCCTGAGTCCAATCCCCAGTACCAAAAAAAAAAAAAAAGATCATCATACTAGCTTCAAGATTATGAGTGGTCATGAAATCAGACATATAGGTACATCCCTATGATCCAAATATCAGGAGGTTGAGACAGGAGGACTGTAAGTTAAAACCTAGGCTGGGCAACTTAGTGAGACACTGGAAGGAAAGAAACAAAAAAAGCAAAAGAAAAAGAGAAGGGAGAAAGGGAGAAAGAGAAGGAAGGAAGGAAGGAAGGAAGGAAGGAAGGAAGGAAGGAAGGAAGGAAGGAAGGAAGGAAAGAAGCCAGCCAGCTAGCCAGCGGAGGCTTGGAGATGAAGTTCAGTATGAAGATCCTATCCAGTGCTGAAGAAAACAAAAAAGAATGAAATATATTCATGCTGCAATGACAGAAACTTGATTTTTTTAAAGTCTTTTAAGATAAGGTCTCCCTATGTACTTCAAACTGAAGTATAACTCAGGCTGACCTTGAACTAACAGCAATCCTCCTGTCTCAACTCCTAGGGGCACGCATGCCACCACATCCATGAAATTTGAAAACATTACTCTATAAAAAAGACGCCAGTCCAGAAATTCAGAGGTTAGATGGTTCCCTTTAAATAAAATGTCCAGAAAAGGCAAATTTATAAAGACACAAAGTAAGACTAACGGTGCCAGGACGTAGGAACAATGGAATGGGAGTGTTTCTTTTTGGGCTAGTGAAACATTCTGAAACGAGACAGTGGTGAAGGGAACATGCCTCCTAAAACCACAGAGTTGTACAAATTTAAAGGGTGGAATGGCTGGGCATGGTGGCACACACTTGTAAACTTAGCACTTGGGAGACTGAGGCAGGAGGAATGCGGCAAGTTTGAGGCCAGCCTGGGCTACAAAGTGAGTCTAAGGCCAGTGTGAACTGCATAGCGAGAGCCTGTCTCAAAAAAAAAAAAAACAAAACAAAGCAAAAAAACAAAAACCCCCAACTTTTTAAAAGGGTATATTTTATAGTATGTGAATTTAATATCAACAAAACAGGAATGACTTCACTTTTTACTGGAAAAATATGACTTTTCCAACTTGAATTCAGAAAACTACTGCCCAGCCCACTGCATAATTACCTGAATAAGAAAAATTGTGTTGACAGCCTGGAACTGTCCAAAGTCATCGCGGTACATTTCCTGGTACAGATTTGACATCATCACCAAGCGGACCAGAAATGTCGCGCTCAGGATAGCCATGGTGGCCGCTGATGCACTCAGTGTCAGGAGGTAGATGAGGAAGTACCTGGTGTTCCAGGCCCCAATGCAGTTGTTTACCCAAACACAGTGATGGTCAAAACGGTGTACACAGCGGTTACACACACCTGCATAGAAGGGAGGGAGCCACGCACACTGTATTTCTCCACAACAACGCAATGACACCGAGGTTTTTACAAATTAAACACTGGCAGTATGGGGGAAAGGAGGCAGTAGGTGGTATGCGGGAAAGGAGACACCAGGATTTTAGAACTGCACTGTCTAAAACAGTAGCAACCAGCCATATCTGAGTACTGAACTTTGAAATATGGCTACAAGAAAACTCTCAAAGAATATTTTATTGATATTGACAAATTTAGTTTTTAAATTTATCCAATCTTCTTCTGAATTAATGTAAATAATACGGAGGTGCCATTAAGAGTTGTAAACTTAACATGGACAAACATTGTTCTACAACTGATGGATTTGGCTGGACATAGTGGTGCAGGCCTATAATTCTAGTACTCTCAAGGCTGAGGGAGAAGAATCATCATGAGTTCGAGGCCACCCTGTTCTAGGCCAGAGCCTGGAGTACATAGTGAAATCCTGTCTCAAAAAACAGAAAAATAAAATAGACCAAAACAAAAAAACCTGATGGTTTTACTTTAAAGTCAATTCTGATAAAGATGTATCATCATATCAACAATAGATGTGCATAATCAAAGAAAATGTCATGCTACTTAATTCATTTATTAGAAAGCTTAAGAAGTCTGGATATAGCCTTGGGTATGTGAGTCTACTCTCTTCCAACTACAAATTTTATGATCTCTAAATATAGATCAGGTATTTCCAATGAAAATTTAGTATCCAAAATGAGATGTACTATAAATGTAACATACATGCTAGATTTCACAGACTTAGTGAGATAAAGAAAACATAAACTGTCTTTTATTTTTTTGTCTTTTTTGAGGCAGGGTTTCACTAAGCAGTTCAGGGTGACCTTAAATTCACTTCACAGCTCATGCTGGCCTTGAACTCAGTGATCCTCCTGTCAGCCTCCTGAGTGCTGGGATTACAGACGTGTGCCACTATGCCCGGTGCCATAAACTATCTTATGACACCTTTATACTTTACATGTACAAATGATATTTTAGGGCCAAGCATTGTGGTACATGACTGTAATACAGCTACTTGGGAAGTTGAGGAGGGCTGAGGCAAATCTGAGCCTAGCCTGGGAAACTCAATGAGATGCTGTCTCAAAAATAAAAAGGACTAGGGACATAGCTCAGTGGTAGAGTGCTTGCCTAATATGTTGGTTTCAATAAAATATATGATTAAAATGAAGCAACTTTCTTTTGCCATGTAGTGACTAGAAAATTTTAAAACACATGTGTAATGTTCCCATGAAGACAGTGCTCATGTAGAATCTTGGGCCTTCTGCAGAAAACTGGGCTTGAGCAGACACAGCCACCTACAGAAACATTTCTTGGGGAACACACCCTGCCATGTGGCAAAAGAAGGGCTAAGTATGGCCACTATACAAAACACACAACCTTCCTGTCAGTCCTCTGAAAGAAACCCTGTCTGGCCTCTAACAAGAGTGGTCACCCCATGGGTGGGGATCAAATCTCTCTGCTTTGAGATTCATGAAACACTGCCTCCCAGCAAAGCCCATGATGACACTGCACTAGGGAGGGCGCTGCTGGGGCCACGACAGCCATACTTACTGCAGTGCTTGGATCGAGCTGGTTTCTTTAAACCACATGAAGAGCACCTCGCATTCTTTGGAAACATCACGCCATCAAATTCATAAACTTGAAGAAGTAATAATTCATTTGTTCTTGTTATAGTGCCTGAAAAAGTAAGAACAAATGTCAGCTTAAGCAATATGGTGGACTGGATGTTCACAAAATCTGACCCAAAACAACATGACTAAAACTGCTATATTTAATATGTTAGGAAATTCATTTTTTACATTCATTTTTTACAACTGCTTTAGTGAGACACAACCCACACACTTGACTCAATGGTTTTTAGTGTATTTGCAGAGTTGTGCAGCCTTCATCACAATCAATTTTAGAACATTATCACTGCTCCAAAAAGAGACCTGTTAGCAATCACTGTCCGCGTCTCTCTAGGGCCTCCAAGCCCTAGAATCTACTAAGTTACTTGTATCCCTATGAATTTATTTGCCTTTCCTGGATATTTCACAAAAATTGGAATCACATAATTTGTGGCTTTTTGTACCTGGTTTCTTTTACTCAGCAAGTGCCATGGTAAAAAACAAAAAAATTACACCAAGACATATAATAGTCAAGATTTCAGAAATTCAACACAAGAACAGAATATTAAAAGCTGTTAAAGAAATAATTCACCTATAAAAGAAAGCACATCAGAATTACAGCAGACTTCTCAACACAAAGTCTCAAGCCAAGAAGAGCTTGCAGTGAAATATGTTAAGCTCTAAAAGAAAACAACCTCCAGGCTGGGGATTTAGCTTAGCGGCATAAGCACCTGCTTTGCAATCGTGTAGTCATGAGTTTGATCCCCAATACCAAAAGAAAACAACCTCCAACTCAGATTAATGAATTCTGAAAAACTATCTTTCAAAATTGATGAAGAAATAGGATACTTCCATGACAAAGAACAATTGAGGAAATTCATGAACACCAAACTTGCACTCTAAAATGTTCTGAAGGATAGTCTAGAAAGAGATATCAAAGATACAATTCCCTGAAGGCCAACAGAATAAATCCACCAGGGAAGGCATGCAATTAAACACAAGAGAAAAAAGGAAACAGGAAAATAACATGACAAGGATAAGTCAGTACATATCAGTTATAATCATCAATGTTAATGGTCTCAATTCACCAATCAAATCAAAAGAAACAGACTGGCAGAATGAATCAAGAAACAAGATGCATACATACAAGATACAGTATGCTGCATACAAGAAACATTTAATTAAAAACGAAATTCGTAGACTAAAAGTCAAAGGATGGAAAACAATACTCCATGCAATAGAAACCCAGAATAAAGGAGGGGTAACTATTTTATTTGCAGACAAAGTAGATTTCAAGTCAAGACTGATTAAGAGAGACAAAGAAGATCACTTCATCCTTGTAAAGCAAACAATCCAAAAGGAAGAGATTACAATCATAAATATACATGCACCAAATACCAGTGTACCCAACTATACATAACAAATATTAACAGGTAAGAAAAATCAAATAAGCACTAATACAGTTGTAGTAGGGACCTCAATATCCCAGTCACAAATAGATCAACTCCTCAAAAGTCAACAAGAAATATTAGAACTGAACCAAACTTCTGAACAAATGGACTTAGTGGATGTTTACAGAGTGTTCCACTCCACAACATCAGAATACACATTCTTCTCAGCTGCATGCAAGGCATTCTCCAAAGCAGACAGATATTAGCTCATAGAACATGTTTATGTAAATGGAAAGGAATTGAAATTATTCAATGCATATTATCAGACTATAATTCAATGAAACTCGGAATCAAAGGTAAAAGAAATCATAAAAACTTTGTAACACATGGAAATTAAATAACACCATCCTGAACAAGCAATGGATCACAGATGAAATTAGAAAGTTTCTATGATTAAACAATAATGCCAATACAATGTACAGAAACTTATGGGACACAATGTAAATGGCCCTATGAGGGAAATCTATAATGGTGAATTCCCATGTCAGGAAAACAGAGCAAGCTCAAATAACTTAATATTATACCACAAGCTTCTAGAAAAAAAAAAGAGCAAGTCAAGTCCAAAGCTTGCATGAAAGAGAAAATTATAAAGATCAGAGCAGAAACTAATGCAATGGAGACTAAGAAAACAAGACAAAAGACTCAATGAACTGAAGAGTTGGTTCTTTGATAGATTAAACAAAATTGAAAAAACCTCAGCCGACTTTATCAAAAAAAGAAAAGACTCAAAAACCTGCAATTAGGAATGAAAAAGATGAAATCACAACAGATCCTGCAAAAATCCAGAAGATCATCAATACCTACCTTGAGGATCTATATTCTGATAAGATGAAAAACACAGAAGAAACAGTCAGATTGTTAGATATATATGAGTTACCAAAGCTGAATCAAAAAAATATAAAAATTCTACATAAACCAGTATCAGTCAATAAAACTGAAGATGTAATTAAAAACCTACCAACAAAGAAAAGCCCAGGCCCTGCTGGATCCACTGCTGAATTCTACAAGAAATTTAGAGAAGACCTACTGCTACTACTTCTCAAACTCTTTCATGAAATTGAAAGGGAAGCAACACTTACAAATTCATTCCTGGAAGCAAGCATTAATCTGATACCAAAAAATCACAGAAGGATTCAACCAATCTCCCTAATGAATAGATAAAAAATTCCTCAATAAGATACTGGCAAACAATGCAGCAAATCATCAAGAAGATTGTACACCATGACGAAGTAGGATTCATCCTAGGGATGCAGGGATGGTTCGACCATATGCAAATCAATACATGTAATACACTATGCTAACAGAGTCAAGGGCAAAAACCGTATGATCATCTCAGTAGATGCAGAAAAAGCATTTGACAAAACCCAACACCAATTCATGATTTAAAAAAAAAAAAAACCCTACAGAAAATTGGAATAGATGGTCTTTATCTCAATCTGATAAGAGCTATGACAAACCAACAGCCCACATCAAACTAAATGGACAAAAACTGAAAGCTTCCACTGTAAAATCAGGAACAAGACAAGATATTCATGATCACCACTCCTATTCAATATAGTCCTGGAAACACTAGCCAGAGCAATTAGATAAAAGAAAGAAATAAAAGGAATAAGGATAGGAAAGGAAGAAGCTAAATTATCACTATTTGCAGACTATATGATATTCTACATAGAAAAACCCAAAAGCTCCACCAAAAATACTTTTAGATTTAATAACTAAATTTAGTAGCATAGCTAGATACAAAGTCAACACTCAAAAATCATTAGCCTTCTGGTGTGCTAAGAATAAACTCATTGAGAGAGAAATTAGAGAAACAATACCTTTTGCAACAGCATCCAAAAAATAAAATACCTACAAATTAACCTACTGAAGCAAATAAAAGACTACTTCATAGGAAACTACAGTATTCTGAAAAAGGACATTGAAGAGGATTAGAATATGGAAAGATATCCTTGTACTTTCGGTAAGAAGAACCAATACAGTTTGGTCATACTTCCAAAACTGTTACACAGATTTAACACAATCCCAATCTTTTACCAGCAGGTTTTCATGATTCAGCCAAGCTATAGCAAGAATCTGTACTTCATTTTATTTTATTCTGTTTTGTATCCTATGGGTGGAACCCACGGTCTCCCACATGCTAGGCAAGTACTCTAACACTGAGCTACACCCACAGATTTTATTCTTTTTTATGACTAGGATTCCACTAAGTAGGCTTATCACATTTTAATTATCCATTTATCTGTTGATGAATAATTGCTATTTTAAGGGCATAAAAGTTTAAAAGTATAGGAAAAAAAGTCCAAGCACATGCCAATCCAAAGAAAAACAGTACAATAAAATTAGTACCACACAAAAGAAACTTGGGAGCAAAGAGCACTAGTTGTGATGACGAGGCTCACTATATTGTGAAAAGACAGACAAGAAAAGATTATCCTAACCCTAAACTTGAATGCATCTAATAAGAATATACATGCAATAGCTTTAAAATATAGGAAGCAAAAATCACAAACAACAAGGAGAAGAGTGAAACCTACCATCAGAATGAGATAATTACCACTCTCAACAACTGGTTAGCAAATAAAAAAAAATAGTATAAAAAAGATTTGAACATAATTAATAAACTTGATATAATAGGCTTTTCATTCTCTATACTCAAGAATTAAAAAATACAAGCTCTTTTCAATTATGTGGGTCATTTACAAAAACTGACCACATGTCCAAGAGTAAGTCTCAAAAAAAAATTTTTATTACTTAGGATTGAGTTCAGCCTTAACTACGCTAAGCAAGTGTCCTACCATACCAGTTAGAAAATTTTTAAAAGCTGTCAGACAGACTTTCAATAAATTTCTAGTCTCTTGCTTCAGCCTCCTGAATAACTATGATTACCAAGCCTGGAACAACAAAAAAAACAAAACAAAAAATTTTTTTTTCTTTTTTGAGACAAGGTCTAACTATAATTAGCTCAGGCTAGCCTTGAACCTATTATGTAGCCCAGGCACCAAAAAATGAACCAAAACAGAGAGAAAATACCTCTAAACAACCTTTTGGCCAATGGCGAAAAAATAAAGAAAACACAGAAGTTTCGCAGTCTTTTTAAAGGGACTACCACCTGTGTGCTATCCTATCAGTAAGACAGCTGAATATCCCCCATTCTGTATGCTAACAGCCTCAACTTACCAGGATTTGTTAAACAAGTTAGGGCGAAGAAAACCAGGTTTACGGTCAGCAACAGATAGGGTAGAAGAAGGTAACACAATGAGAACTCCAGCTCTTGACAGTAACCAAGTATCTCCCAGGTATACTCGATATAAACCAGCCCTTGCAAGACCAGCTGCAGGATAACAAAGGTGTAGTTGCTGAAAGGAAAGAGGTGTGCAGTTTACTCACAGGGCTGCTCCATGAAGAAATTGTGAAAAATCATACAAAACTAAGAAACGTTACTAGGGCAACCACATCCTTTTCAGCATTAAATAAGAAATCAGGTGAAACATTTCACATGCATTTTACAGAAATACACGTCAACCTTTCCCCACTCTTTAAATATCTTTATTTAAAAGCAGACACATCAAAATCCCCAAAGACAGGGCCGAGGTTTTAGCTCAGCGGCATAAGCGCCTGCCTGGCAAGCGCGAGGTCGTGAGTTCGATCCTGGGTACCACACACACACACACACAAAAACAAAGACAAAGGACAGATTATTTGTGAATAGAAATTCTAAATACATGACTCTCTATCCTTCTACCTTCCCAGCATGATTACTATGCTGGAAACCTGAAGTGCTTCCCGAAGCTACACAGTAGCAACAAATAAGACAGAAAGAGGAACATATTTAAACTCTGAACTGTAAGTACCGTGTGTAGAAGAAGTAACGAAGCCACCTTTGCATGGCTCTTTGAAGGCATTGTGGAATTATACAGGAAAATAACTGAAATAAAAGAAAAAAAGCTCAATTTCATTTCTCATTCTCCTTACTCTGAAATTAAAGATGCTCCACCCATAGCCAACCAGTATAGGAGATACTAAGTTTTGCTGCATAAAGGTGGAGAAGCCAATGAGAAAGAAGAAAAAGAAGGATTTTTCTTTCAGTGGCTTCCTTTGATGCCAACTCCTCCACTTTTACCCTGACCCCAAGATGGCACTTGTCAGGGTCTTCGGAAAAAAGAGGTGAGTAGAGACGGGGAATGTTGCTGTGAGGGCTGCTCTTTCCCTTTCTGAGTCTGATCCCATTGATTAGGCCAGGCCCATCCCAAATCAGTCTCATTCTTGCTTAGTTTTATTCTTAATTTTGTCCCCAGTTCTGCTTCCTTTTGACCCTGAAGGAGGAAAAGCAGCCCATGTTCGACTTCTGCTCATCCATTCCCCAGTTTCACCTGTCAAGCACCTTCAGGCAGATACCACTCACATCCATGCCCAACCACATGCAGCACATCCGGAGGCAAACAGCCAACTTTGAGAAAGCTATCTGATCTCAAAGCATTGCCACAAGGTTACCTGCAGCAGTAACAAAAACAAAAACATAAAACTGACATAAATGAAAGACTAAATGAACCAGTGAATTTAACTGGACTTTCTTGCCCTGCCAGGAAACTGGAGAATCTTTTAGACTACTGCAGTGTTTAAACTTCAGTGGCATTCTAGGATCATTATTACCTGTGTTCCACCCTGGACCAGGCTTGTCAAATGATGACTTCTTGGATAGATCCAGATCATAAGAACACTGATCATCATGAAATCCAGGTAGATTAAAAAGAGAGTGAGGAAGTCCATCCTTCAAGCTGCATAGGTAACAGAATAAATATAACTAGCTGCTACTTAAAAATTTATTCTACCATACATATTCTCAAACTCTTTAAATGGGTACAAAACAGAATTCACTGGCCCTTGAGTACATGCCATAGAGCACTATGGTCTTTTAGTCGTGCAGCCTACAAGCTTCCCTTCAAGGTGAACACTGTGGTCTGCCTTTGGGGCATCTCCTTCCTGTAAAGTGAAGAAAACTTTATCTATCTTCCTTCCTTCCAGCAACAATTCCTCTTTTTATTTCCCTAAATATTCACCTATATACTAATGCAGGAAGTACTCAAAGAAATCTGCTGACATCACCAGAACAAACACTTCCAGGTGGCAATCAGGAATCCTGCCCTCAGGATCAGATGCCCCTGTCCTTGGACACCCTCCTCCAGGTCAAACTGTCAGGAATAGCACATGGGAACCAGAGACCATACATTAACATTAATAAACTGAAAGTGTTTTCCTTTTGGCCTTAGTGGATTGGATTATGGGCCAGAAATTCCAACCAAGATAATCAAACCAGCAGCTATTCATAACATAGAAGAAAAAACAGAGAGCAGCAATTCTCACCAATTTAAGGTCTCCAGCCTACATCTTTCTCCTGACTGGATATTTTTTCAGCTGACAACTGTGGCATTCCTCTTCCCAAGATTGATGGAGAAATGAGCAGCTCCTTTCTAGGAGCTTCTCTTGGGCAGCGGTGTGTGAGCGCCACTACAGGTGGCACACACAGCAGGAGACATAGTTCCTCCAGGAAGCTGGATACAGACAGAAGAGTTCAACCGTCACCTAGTAAGACTAGGAGTCAGCGGCAGAATGCATTATGGTAACATGTGGAAGGAGGGGATACTGAACACCAAGGCGTGAAAGAGTTGCATGACTTTTGAAGAAACAGCTAATTGGGAAGAAATAGGCCAGCAGTCTTGGGTTTATACCTTCCTGCCCCCTCCCTATTTCTTTCCATGTGTGTGGTGTCTAGGAATTTCTCTCCCTCTATTACAGACATATCCTACCACGCCTCCATTGTCCCTCCCCGTCACTATTGCTCCCATATGTGGAGACTAGAAAGAGGACTTCCTAGAGTCTATTCTCTAAGTATCTCCCGTCCCCGCTTTGAGTGGGAGGAGGGATAACAGGCTCTGAAGGGACACAGAAGTTTGCTTTCAGCAGGCTCGGACATACGGGCCGGTTTGTAGTAGGCCCGGAGAATCCATTGGGCTGAAGCCCAGGAGTGTGGACAACCGTTGGCCGACTCAAGAGGGGACACAGGAAGCGGAGAGTAGCAGGTAGGGGCGCCGGGGCCCCGGGCAGGGTTAAAGTAGCACTAGAGAGGAGGAGGTTCAGACAGGGAGATGGACGGCCCCAAGCCCCGCGAAGGCCGCCTTACCCCCAGAAGTGGGGCCATCCGCTACTAGCACAGAGATACAGCCTCCTGGTGTAACCCGGAGACTTCCGGCGGTCCGTGACGTCATCGCGGCGCCCGCGGCCAGGCTCACTTCCGGCGGAAGTGGGGACGGGATACCTGGTGCTGTGGGTTGGTGGCTCTATTTGGTTCTGATAATGGGTTTTCAGTTCCCGGTTTCCTAGTAGACTTGAGAAGAGGACGGTCCTGTGCCTGGTACGGCCGTGCGTTAGGACTGTGAAGCAGCGTAGGAGGAGTCCAGTCGTGTGCTGCGCACTGCCAAGCAGGGGGCCCGGCACGAAGCTCATACACTGTCTTGACAGAATACATGTTGCTCACAGCTGGCCACATTGTTGGAGTCTGTTCGGCTTGTTCCAGAATCTTCCACCGCAGAAGGCACAATATGTATCCGTCAAAGTCAGAGTCCGTTCTACACCTGTTCTTGCCCCGCTGTTTGCATACAGAGCCTTGAACATCTCCCCCTAGGAGCAGAGACAAGCGCATGACCGTAAACCTCTTGAATAAAAAAGAAGACTTTGTTTTGATGATAGCCAGTCTTGGGGTTACAAAGCTGCTTCCAAACATAGCGCTGAGCAGTCTCCTGCGGCGTGTTCCTGTGCTGTAAACGCCTCCAAATCCGCTGAGAAAGGTCTATTCTTGATGCCTCTGAAAACCTGAATCAAACCTGTCTTTCCTTTGAGTGCAAAATGTCTGATCTCTAAACACCAGCTTCAAAGTCTTCTCTTTTCCTGTTGTGTCTTTGCTACCTACTTGAACTTCTTGATTCCTTTTTTGTGTGTGTGTGAAATACTCCTTACTGAGCTGGCCACCTTCCGAGTACATCATTCACCTTCCCAAATTTGTGAAAATAGACTCTGAAGATGTTATATGACCAGAGAAAACTGGATGTAGATGGAGCGCATCACATGACCAGAACTGGGATAGGTATTTTCATATCTCCGTCTGACACCACTCTGCTGGTTGGCCTTGAGTTGGGGGTAAAATATTTATGCAGAACTTTATTTTTATCCCTTTTCATTTTGCTAAGGGGAGTTTCAGTTCAAACTAACTTTGAACCTCGGTTTGATCATCTGTAGCATTTTGTGTGGGTTGTCTTTCATTTTTTGAAATAAATGCAAGTAATAACATTTCTCTATAAAGAGTCAAATTGTCCAAAATTAAATAAAATTTTTTCCTTGACCACCATTCCTCCTGAATCTCAATCCTATGACAGAATTACTATTACTTAATGTGTATCCTAAAACCTTCGTCTCTGCACACACACATGCATACATACACATATAAATTAATTCAACAAAACAAAATTGCGTATACCAAGTGCTGTTCCTGACACCAACAATATTAATGATAAAACGGAATAGGCACACTGTGGTAGCACAGGCCTATGATCCCAACACTTAAGAGGCTGAGCTGAGGAGGATCACCATGAGTTCAACACTATCCTGGGATACATAGTGAGTTTAAGGTTAGCGTGAGCTATATTATAGTGAGAACATGTCTCAAGAAATAAAAAGAAATTCCTTAATTATATGGAATTTATACACTTGGGAGGCTGAGACAGGAGACAAGTTCAAGGCCAACCTGGAATATATAACAATACCATCTCAAAAAAGAAAGAAAGGGGCTGGGAATTTAGCTCAGCGGCATAAGTACCTGCCTTGCAAGCAAGCAGTCGTGAGTTCAATCCCTGGTACTGATAAAAAGGAAAAAGACAAAAAAAAAAAAAAAAAAGAAAGAAAGAAAAAGAAATGGCATTGCCTTACACATAATAGTTCTCCGGATTTTTTTTTTTTTTTTTTTTTTTACTCAGCACTATGTTTTGGTGATCTTTTCACACCAAACTATTTACTGCATTATATCCATGGCTACATAGCTGAGCTATGGCTTCTCTACTAGTGTTCTAAACTCCACTGCCTACAGTGCTATAATTACACAGCAAAATAAAGTAGGCCTACTTTGTTCTAAGGGGAAGTAGCTATTTATACAGACCATAAAATTGTTGCCCTTAATGAAAGAATACAGAATTCCAAGATTTTAAGGACATTTGTAAATCTTGATTTTATAGCATAAAAAAGGGAAAGTAAACATTCAAAGAGCTTATCCAAGTCACTATCTTCTAACTTTTCAACTGCCTTCTTACTCCCATTCCTGCTTTTCACAAGTGAAACCTGCACTGCACTTGAACAGTAAAAATGGAGAGTTTAGATTTCCTACTCAGTGGGTCTGGTACACTCCTCCCTGCATACTCCTAGGGTAAGATTAGACTCATTTCCAACTTTAAGGGTGGGTCCCAGCTATTAGATTGGTCTTGGCCAATCAGAGTAATACTATTGTCCTTATCACAATAACTTTGAAATCAGGACAACCAGGGCATAGCAAGACTTCAGTGTAAATGAACTGATTGCAATTAGAATTCCTCTTTAATGGTTCTTCCTCTCTCACCAAATTGAATGAAGATATTAAAGGTCCAAGTATAGTGGTTCATATTATCTCAGCACTCTAGGAAGCTGAGGCAAGATCACAAATGTGGGCCTAGCCTGGGCAGCATAGTGACTTAGGGAGAGCTTGTCTCAAAATAAAACCAATTACTTGGCATATAGCTTAATGTAAAGGCCCTGGCTTCAATATCCAGTACTGAGGGTGTGGGGAGAGATAAATTAAAGAACTCTTGAAACCTCACTTCTTTTAGGGACCATGAAAGGAGGCGAACTTGAGGATGGAGCCTGAGGAGTGAGACCCAAGAGAGGCACACAACAATGGAGGCAAAGCTCTGAGTGAACCATGCCCAGTGCTTCATCTGCTTTTGACTTTCTGAGTAGACGAACCAATTTTCCAAATCATGTTGAGATATGTTTTCTGTAGCTCTTCCCCCATTTCATGGTTTTCCTTTAAAACAAATTTTAAATTTTATCCAAATATATAAATAATGGCAAAGCCAAGCATGATAGCACACTATAATTCCAGCACTTGGGAGGCTGACGCAAGAGGATCGCTGCAAACTCAAGACCAGCCTGGCTACATAGCGAGTTCAAGACCAGTCTAGACGACATAACAAGGCCCTGTCCTTAAAAAAAAAAACCAAAATATACAAATAATGGCAAAGAAAACAATTATTTTTCTATCTTAAGTGATACTTTACTACCATGTACCTTTGTATACAAAAAATGTGAAATTTTATATTCACTTAAAAGATTTACATGACTATAATCATAGTATCTAGACAATTTTGATTTTTTTAGTTTATCATAAGTGTTTCTCACCTAACAAGATAGTTTCATTATTACTTGAAAATATAATATAATGACTTTAGCATTCTCTAATTGTTGGACATTTGTTTTATGTCCTACTCTTTTATTGTTATGAATAGTTCTGCAACTATACCCTATAGTCTATTCATTGCTTTTTTTAAAAATTATTTTTTCATGATGAATTTATCAGTGGTTGTGGAGTTCCTGAAAACCATGTGCTTCTGCCATTTTATTTTTCTTTGTTCTTCAAAACCTCCAAACACAAATACTGATGCTTGTATTATATAAACTACCATAGGAAAAAACACTATTAAACCTATAACTAAAGATGTAACTCAAGTGTGATAGAAAGGATTATATCACCCTTGATGCAAATAGCAAACAATTCCTCTTAGGAGCATCCTAAACCCTGTTGCCAGCCTGAAACTGAACCTGTGGTATCAGTTGTTTACCTGCTGCAAGATCATTTGACAGGATCAACCACCTTTTACATCATGATCTCTTATCCCCCAGGGAATGACTGAAGCAGTACTTGGGAAATGGGATACAGGACATCATAGCTACTCTTGCAATAGGTACATAGCACAGGATGTTTGTTTACAGTGATTTGTTGGTCATGAGGAATTTTTTTAATGGAGAAACAACAACAAAAAAACCCAGGAATGTAACAGGGTCTTGCTCTGTTGCCCAGGCTGGGCTCAAACTCATAATTCTTCTGCCTTAGCCTCCAAGTAACTAGGATTATGGGTATACACACACACACACACACACACACACACACACACACACCTACAAAAGTATTTTTGTTGTGGGGGGCAGAGACTGGATGTGTGTTTGCTTATTATTATGTCAACAGCAACTATTTTAATGCCTATCTCATAGTAGCATAATAAAAATGTGTTGAATGAATGAAAGAAAAACGATGAATTATACCTGGAGGAAACTTGTATGGTAGATAATACCAAAACAAAAACTGCTCTGGCCAGCAGGTGGGGCCACAGTGCACCACTGTTAGGTGGCTCACAGCACAACATATGGGTTCTCCAGTCACAGTTTTGAATTTCTACTTGGCTTCAAGCAATGTGCTCAGATACCCCGTAAAAGGGAGTGGTTGGGGCAGAATCTCCACTTCCGGGCTCTCTGAACAGATCCTAAATCAGTATATCTCACAGCTTTCTTTGTTCTGAATGCTATGCTGTTACTCTGGTCACCAATACTTCTGCTCACCATCAGGTGTGATATCTCCTTTCAGGGGCTGAAGAAGGGAGAAGCACAGCATTGTAAACACTTTGCTGAGACCTGTGGGGGAAATGAAGATGAATTTCCAGAGTCACGTGACATGCCTGTAAAGCGTGATCAAAACTACAGTTTAAATTTTAAATTAATCCCCTTCTGAATACCTCTCTTGGGTCAAATACATTCATCCCATCATTCTTGTCACTTTCTGAAACAGCTCTAGAAGTCTTCACATCTGTATTTGTGCTGTTGTGGCTGCCTCAGTATCCTAGATTGATTCAAAATATTACAGTAAGTTCTCTCAAATAAAAATATAACAGTAGTCTTCCTCCACCTTATTCATCAGATCTGGTATTGTGTGATCTCAGATTCTTTCCAAAAGTCAAAATAACAGTGAAAGGGGAATATTTTGGGGCATTTTTATTTGGTTTTTTGGTACCGGGGATTGAACTCATGACCTTACACTTGCCAGGCAGGTACTTATGCCACTGAGCTAAATCTCCAACCCAAAAGGGAAATATTTTGAATAAACTCAGGACAGAAATGCAGCCATGATGTTGCAAATAAAGATACTCATGAAAGAAGACTTCCAGATCTGCTTCAGAAAGTGGCAAGCACAATCAAATGACTGTG